CGTAAGTGAAATAACATGTTGCACAAATTTATTTTAACATAAGTTACTAATTTGTTAATATTTATTACATACAAACGAGTAAAAAAACGACTCGCTTTTTAGTTTGAATAAACAATGTCAAAAACAAATAAATCCGTTATTAAGAAAGGAATAAGAAAACGAAGCTTCATTTGTATATATTTCGAAACGGACCAAAAGAATCAAACAAAATGCATAATATATGCTGCAAAATGCAGCATATATTGTAAGATTTTACCTTACAACAGTTCGACCAGTTCAACGCAATCGCATTTATCAATTAATTTTAAATCAATTTCGATGCTAGAATTGAAAGGATGTCGTTTCATTATAATTACTTGTGATAGTTGGTCATCATTAATTATCAAAACCTGGATCTTTATGTATGAAATGAAAACAGCTGAATATTTATTTAATACGTTAAAAGAAATCTTCAGTGAATGGTCAATCAATAATAAGATTTTTGCACTTGTTACTGACTTAGGAGCAAATATTTTCTCTGCAGTAAATACATTTAATGATAATGTTTTTAAAATTCCGTGTGCTGGTCATCGTTTGAATCTTGTGGTTCATGATCTTCTAAAAGTAAAAAAATTTTAAAATCGGTCAAAGTGTTACAAAGTAAAAGATTACAACGGTAATGGAAAATTAATTAATAGAGAAATTACAGAAAGTCAAGTTAAAGAAATTGAAAAAATTAAAATAAAGTTAGTACAGGATATAGCTATTCCCTGGAATAGCCAATTCGATATGATTGAATCTATATTAACAAATAAAACTGCATTGGATATGATAAGCATCGAATTTCAAAATATAAAAGACTATCTTCCCATTGCAACTGAATTTAAGGTGCTGGAGAATTTGTTTGATTTGTTACACCCTATTAAAGAGCTAACAAAACTTTTTAGCGGAAAGAAATATGTTACAGTAACATTTCTGTTTCCAACACTGTATTCTCTACTAAATGGAATACTTGAATCGCAACCTATTTTTACAGAACCTGTTAAGACTTTTCAAAAGGTATTATTAAGGTCTCTAAAAGGACGTTTGAAATATATTTTTGCTAATGATTTTTTCTTAGCAGCTACTTTTCTTGATTTCAAATTTCGTAAATTCGAGTTTATCAAAAATGATATCTATAGATATGAAAGACAATAAAATGTTAATAAAAACATTTTGTTTTTATTAACATTTTTATTAACAAAACAAATGCATCTAAAAGAATCCGAAGAAATTGATATAATAATTGAAACAAATTATTTAAATAACACTTTGAACTCGTCAAACAGCTCAGCTGACATTACCATAAAAGCTTTTCAGCAATCGTCAACGATATTACTTTAGTTAACAACTAAAGACGAAAATCAATCAACTTAATTGAACTAGTAACAGATAAATCTTGTTGTAATTTAATTGAGAGCAATGATAAACTTGAAAAAATGATTACGGCCTGCAATACTTTCAGAGCTACGAAAATAGTGCCATTGAATTTTTCTAAGCTATTCAAAAATTGTTCTCGGTTTTGACTCGGATAATATTTTCAGTTCCAGCGACATCCTTGCCATCAGAATTCTTATTTAGTTCAACTGGTTTAATAGATACGGAGCTATGGAAAAGGCTTGCGCCGAGCTTAATTAAAGCAGTTAGTTTTTATTAAAGAAAACAAGTAATCAAAAACATTTCTTTATTAAATTATATTTTAGTAAAAGTATATTTTTTAAATCTTAGTAATTCAAAGCACTTGTATTCTTTTTTTTTTATCAAACAGCTTAATTAATATTTTACAAACAGCTTGATTAATGACAATATGTTTTCTGCTTTATTCTTTTCCATTCTGGAAAAAACACCAATATCCAATCATTGAGCTCCATCAGCGCAGGTGCAAGTAGGTGTGACGTGGTGGGGTGTCATTAAAATTTTTGTTGAGTAAAAAATTAGGTGCTTGTTTTTTGAAATTCGACGACTGACCTGTCTAAAAGGTCTGCATTTGCCGACTCCTTTAAAAGGGTTATTTTTGCCAACTAAATGCACAAAAAATGCATTGAGGAAAGTGTGTGAGTGTGTGAATAATTCGTAAATTTATATAATCTTTCCCCGTCACTGAATGGTTTAGAATTTGTAACTAAGGAGTGCTAATTCCATAGCTTGCAACAGTAGCATTTACTGTTATGATATTGCCATTTTTTAAGAAATCTTGTAGTCCAACCAACTAATTATAAATTTGACTGTTTTATCTTTCCTTAACTTGACGAGAATCTTCACGAACAAAAAAGTTATTAAAAGAGAGTCTACTGTAATCTTTTTAGGACTGATTGTAGATAAATATATATCATGGAAATATCATATTAAATCTATTGAAAATAAAACCTTCAAAAATACTTCAATGCAATATAAAGTTAAACCTTTCTTTATAACGGAGTCTTTGAAAATTATATATTTTTCATTTAGGGAGAGTTGGGGCACAGTGGTCGGATTTCTTTCTTTTTTAATTTGAGTGAAAGTTAAAATATATATTTTATCTTTGTCAAGGCTAAAGGATTGAGAAATATGTCCTTCATAATAAGAAATCACTAAATCCTAAATATTTATTATCTAACAGCTCACAGAAAGGTTTAAAGTGAGTTGTGTTAAGTGATTTACTGTACCCCAGTACTGGGGTACAGTGAATCAATTAACACATCTGCAAATTAGTGGTAGTTAATGGGGGCGTAGCCAAATAATTTTGAGGATGAGGGTGTAAATACATTGTACACATACTTTTGGTGCACTTTTGGTAATTAAAAATAAATAATTTGAATTTTTTCCGATTGAAATAATACAGAATAAATTTTATTGATAACAAAACTTATGCAACCATATAAAATCACAAAAAAAATATTTACCTAATAAAACTTATTTAACCAACAACAAAAGAAATTTTTAAAAGTGAATTTTTAACTTTTATAAACATTTTAATTTTTATAAACATTTTTATCACAGTAAATCAACCAATTCACGGTACCCCGATTCATTGTGCCCCACCATAAAAAATAAGGTTCAAGTTTAATTTCTTGGAACATGAGTGTTATTAAAGGAAAAGCAAAATGATTTTAACCATGATCTCCACAACAAACATAAAGATGGTAAAAACATTTACTTTAGTTAGCTAAAAACATAAATTACCTACCAAAAACCTAGAGTCAAAAAGTATGTGATAACACCTATAAATAAAGATGGGTTATATATGTGCACATAAACTGATTACATCATCGTGAGGAACAAAATTAAAACTTTTGCGAAAATGCTTCTTATTAACTGTGCCCCTCGATCCACTGTACCCCGACTTCCCCTATTCATAGTTATCTTTCCTATTGTAATCTTGTATGGGGAAGTACCAATTATGGGAAGCTCAAAAATATTTATAGCAAACAAAAGCATGCATGCAGGATTATATTTGGCGTTAACAGAACTGTTAATGATGAATCTCTTTTAAAGAAACTTAATGTGCTTAATGTTTATAAACTTAATATATACCAAGTTATGCTTTTTACGTTTAAATCAAAACATGCGTTATCTCCTTATATATTTCACACTTACTTTGCAGAAATATCTCATTAATACCCAACTGATTATTTTGTTATTCCAAGATCTTATTCAAAACTCAATTCATTTCAAATTCAATATAGTGGACCATTTATATGGAAAAGTTTTTTAAAAAACATTATTAAAGATAAAATTCTTCTAAACATGAAGTCATCTGTTCAGTAATATTTTACTATGTATAGTTGCTAACTATATGTATTATATATTTATTTTAATTTAGTTTTTATTTCTTTTTTATTTCTTTATTTATTTTTATAGCTTAAATTGTTCTTTTTACATTTTATTATATAAATTGTTCTTTTATATTTAATACATAGCGATAAAATTAGTTTTGTTAATTATGATCTTTTAGTTTTTTCTTCAGGGCAATAAGATTATCCAGTTTAGTAAGTTCTATATTTTGAGGTATTATTTTGTTGTATAAATAGAGGCTTTCCTCATTATAAATTTTATTATACGGCAAAGAAAAAGATAACAATTGAAAAAAAAAAAAAAAAAGAAACTGGTTAAGTTTTTTAAATGTTATGAATCGTGGTGCCTCGTTAAATTATATTCTTTGCTCTCTAAAACAGATTCATTACATACTAAACATGCTGGCGCCGAAATAAATGTACCAAAATAGTATTCTTTTGCGAAACATTAATTAGGCCCCTGGTTATTTAGTATTACTACGCAAATAAAATTTAAGGTATTAAAGTTGCATTTATAAGTTATGTTTTTAAAATTTATAGCGTTAATTGAACGTTATTTTTTTTGAAATAAATTTAATTTCTAAAAAAAAAATTTTTTTCTGAAATAAATTAAACTTTTCGAAATATAATTTCATTTTCAAAATTAATTTAGCTTATCAAATATCTTTTGGTTTTTTTCGAAATTAATTGCACACTTCGAAATTTTTTTTTTTTTTTTTTTGTAGTTAATTTTACTTTTCGAAACTCTTTTTTTTACTTTCGAAATTAATTTCACTTTTCGAAATTCATTTTTTTCTTTCGAAATTAATTTCACTTTTCGAAATACACTTTTTTTTTTCGAAATTAATTTCACATTTCGAAATTCTTTTTTTCCTTTCGAAATAAATTTCCTATTTCAAAATCCACCTTTTTCTTTCGAAATTAATTTCACATTTCTAAATTATTTTTTTCGAAAATTGCAATTTCGATAAAGAACCCTAATTTTTATTCCTAAAATAAGAATTTTTTTTTCTTGTTTTAAGAACTTTTTTTCTTAAATATTTTTTTTTTCTTGTTTCAAGAATTTTTATTCTTTTACAAAAATCATTTTTTTACCTATTTCAATGTTATTTTTATTTAAAATAAGATTCTATTTTTTTTTCAATAATATTTTCCCTGAACTATAAAACAATATTACAAATGTACTTTTTCTATGGAAAAAATGAAACATTTTGAAATTAGGATGATATATAATAAGAATATACAAAAAGCATTTATACATTTAAACAACACATCTAATCGTTGAAATAAGGAATTAATCTTTGGAATGTTTTATTATTGTTAATGCTTGTGGCGGCAATACTCCTCCTATGTCCAAGAAAAGTGTACTCCAATAGGTTCCATCACGAAGTCAGAAAATGAAAAACTTCATAAAATAATCTTTTGCCACACATAATAATCACTTTGTCTCTATCGTCTGTTACGTTTTTTTTACCTGAAAATAATTTTTTCAAACTCAAAATTTAACAATAATATCTTTTCATATCTTAAGATGTATATTATATATATATATATATATATATATATATATATATATATATATATATATATATATATATATATATATATATATATATATATATATTATTATATTGCAGCAAGTACTTTATTAAGTGTTTAACTTTACGATCTAAAAACACATTCCTTATTTAATTATTAAATGATTTCAATACATTGTTTTACCTAACTTTGACTTTGACTTTTTTAAATTGATCCAATACTAGAATGCTATATATCATTGGAAAGCCCTCAAATACAGTATTTTAAAGATGAAAAAATTATGAAAACCTAACCAAGCAAAAACATAAAAATGCCTAAGGTTGGCAATTTTTTGCTGACCTCGTTTTTATCTTTTATAGTAAAACCTTTGTAAAAATGGCTTTATGTTTGCCGATTGTAATCTGATGCCAACATAAAACAGTTTAAAGTCGACAATTTATTACTCATTTTAATTTTACTAATTTTGAGACTTGTGTATGCATGCATACCTACCTGTATTTGGGTGGCAGTGGACGAGGAACTGCCAACTTGTGTATTCCATAATGCAAAAGTGTATCAATGTCTTCATTCTTGCTGAGTCAACTGTGACAGAAGACTTTAATACATGTCGCCAACTATCTGATAATAATAATAAATAATAATAATAAAAACTAAATAATAATAATAAAAAAAGCATACAACTTTAAAAAGCAGAGAAAACTTATAGAATAACCCATTAGAGGACAACAGTTTTGAAAATACCTTCTCATTTAAAAAAGGATTTGTGATTTTCAAATACTATTTCATTTTATCCAATAAATATATCAAATCACAAATGAAAAAAAAAATCTTACCAATAGCACATTAGGGAAACATTGATATTTCTCTAAAAATGTTGCTATTCTCTCAATCGGAAATTTATTAACCCAGGTTAATAAATTAAAATTCTATACTTAGATCAATTAAAATGCACCAGAACAAAGTTCTAGTGCATTTTAATTGATCATGTTATAAAAATAAGGATAAAAAATGTAAAAAATTAAAATTAATTATAATAATACTAAATTTACTAATTGAAAAGTATAGTTTTCTTTACTTACTTTACTTTGCATGTATTTGGAAACTTGCAATTGTTTAAAAGAAAACACACACATATATGTCATATATGTGTATGTATGCAACATAAACATGGATATTTAGAAATAGTACTAATACTAATCTTAAGTAAAATCCAAACTTTATAATAATAGCAATAACAATATTAAAACAATTATAACGAGGTAAGTAATGTTAACAATTATATTTGTATCAATATAATAATAACAATAATAATAGTAACAATAATATTAATAAATATTAAATTTAATATTAAACAAAAACAATAAGTAATAGTGATATGAATAGAAGTAAAATAATGTTGATATTTATATTACTTATAATCATACCAAGAGCAATAATAATGACGCACAATGAGCCCAACATTTTACAAACAGTAATTACATTTCTCCAAAATAAAAAGACATAAAGATGAGTTTTAGTAGTAAAGTTTAGTGATATAAAGTGAATATAAAAAATAAATTGTTCTATGAATAAAAAATGATAAATTATATCATGATTTTATGCATTGGTTTGTGATGTGATTTGTTATGCTGCACTTAACTGAACAATGATTTAGAATATATAACTTAAGGTTGCTAAAAAATGGAAGATAATTTTGAGAATTTTTTATAGAAGTAAAGAAATTACAGATTAAAAGAGGTAGGGTAACATGTGTGTGATTTCAGACAAATAGACAATTTAATAGATGAACAAGAGCACACAATTTTATTTTAAATAGAAAGAAAAGAATATTAGAATTAGAGTGATATTCTTGAAAGTAAATTAATTTAAATATCTTGTTTTTAGATTAGATATTCATAAAAAATTATTGGTTCATAAATTAAAAGTATATATAATATATCATAATTGAGTGTTTGTAGTATGTTTGAGAAATAAAATTTATATTAATAGGTACGTGGACTGACTTTTTTAAATTGATCCAATACTAGAATGCTATATATCATTGTAAAGCCCTCAAATACAGTATTTTAAAGATTAAAAAATTATGAAAATCAGACAATTCTATAAAAAAATATAACGTTTTTAGTAGCAATTTTCCAATATATGGATTTCTTGATAAAACTGTGGTAAAAAAAAATTTTTTTCTACATAAATTATAACTTTGCCAATTCTTATTCAAATATCTATAACTTAGTATCAAAAGATAGATGTAAAAATGGGCTATAATTTCAAACTAGTTTCTGGGTAAAGTGCGCATGGAGTAGTGCTTCCAATACCGATACCATTTTTCAATACCGGTATATCGGTACTAAATAATTACAATACCGGTAATACCGGTATAATACCGGTATTAAACTTTATTTTTAAACTTGTCATAAACTAAATAAAATCTCAAGTTAATAGTAAAAATTTTATTGTATCAATCAGCTTATTTATTTTATATCAAAACTACCGACTTTTTCATTTTTCGCTTTTTTCTGCTTTGTAAAATGAGCCCGTAAAAAACATAGGGCGTTCAGAACATCATCTTCAAAAGATCATCTAATTTTGTTGGCTTCACAGTTTTCAAGTAATGGTAGGAATTTTTCAAATATATACAACGGTTTCCTCCTTCTTCAAAAATTCCTATTTCAATACATATAATTTTTGATGAATTATTCGAAACATTCAATTTTCTCTTGTTGTTACATTTCTTATTTTTCAAAATTGCAAAGTTAAGCTTTTTTTTCAATGACAAGTTTACAGCGTTGTCCACAGAATCACTATCGGAAAAAACGCTGGTGAAAGGGAGAGGACTATACCCTTTCTGATTGAGCCGATCTTTCAGTCGAGTAATGGTATTTACAATGGCTAATTTGCTATGGTGCTCAAAAGATAGAGCTAGATCCAAATTCTTGTAACGTTGATGTCCCTTGTGCAAAAAATGTTGTATGCTGGAAAAAGAGTACGTTGCTCATTGAATTGTTGCACCAACATAACTTTACAACTAAATCGATTTCTCAAAGGTTATTTGTCATGAAAATGTTGTATCGGCACAACAGAGTTGCATGATTTTGGCACAATGTTTCCACAGCCAGTTTTACTGGCGCAAGACATAAGTTAACAGCTAATATTGCATCGGACTCATTATTAGTTACCTCAACTTTGGACTCAAGGGCAAAAAGTGACTCGTGAATGCATTTTTTCAATTATACAAAACGTTCGAGTACTGTGTGCAAGCTAACCCAGCTAGTTTTGGATCCAAGTATTAGTGGAATATCTTTATCAAATTTTTCTAACGTGCGTTTTTGAATTTCGATCATTTTTTGTCGGAGAACGGCGAAATAAAAATTTCACAACGGTGCGCACCTTTTTGATTAACGGCTGCAAATCATCAGTCAGTTCAATAGAGTCATTCTCTTCACTCATTACAACTTGAAACCCGCCGGAAAAGTCTTCATCATTATTCGTTATGTTTGTGTCATCAGTATTTCCTCGTCACTTTCTCTGTTATTGCATATTACTTTCAAGTTTTTTTGCAGAAATTGACAATTTTTTTGAACAAAATATCTTGAATACCTAGTTGAATCCCATGCTTAATGCACAACTGTTGATCACAGTTACTTAAACGCCCCACTTTCTACATTACCGAAACTTTTCATATTTACGTTAGTGCAAAATTCAAACATGCGTTCTACATTAAAGCGAGTGACGTAATGATAATATTTTAAATTGGTGCTTCATTATTTAATGAAAACACGAAAGTAAATGGAATACTTAAAACTTCCAGTCACGATCAAACAACGTTTCCGGTAAGAAAAAGATAGCTAGATGACAAAAGACGTGTTTAAATCGTCTAAAACAAGTATTCTACGTATTTTATACGTCTTAAACGCTAGCTGTTCGCTGGCTAGTTGCTAGCTCATTTCAGAGGGCGATAGCACCTGCTATATCATAAGCCCTCTTCATACATTTTATACCGGTATTGAGCCAAACCAATACCGGTATTTCGGTACTTAAAAATGTCCGGTAATACCGGTATTCCGGTACCGGTACTACCGGTATTGGAAGCACTAGCATAGAGGGATCCAGAGGGGGTGCTAATCCGCCACCTAAACCTCACAAAAATACACTTTTTTTTCAAAATAGAGTGTTTTTTTTTTTTAAAATTAGTAATATTTATATACAACAAGTTATTATTTATTTATTCCACATCACTAGCAAATATTACAGGTCTATCTTAAAGTTGGGTGTTGGGTTTAACACACCCTATAAAATTTCATTTTTTTAATTATTAAAATCTTTACTAAAATGAATAAATCTATTATAAAAAAACAAAAAATATATTTCAACACTATAACAAAGAGTAACTAGTGGTGTATAGATTACTTTGATGGAAGAGGGCGTTTACTGCCCCCCCCCCCTCTGCTATGAACCTGAAAAAAAAAATTGTATGAAAATTTCACAAAAAAATGTTAAAATGCTTTTTTAAAAAACAGAGAGAAATTAGTAAAAAAATATTTTAACACATTACAAAATGCATCAGAGTAACCATTTTGTCATGTAAAAAGACAGATTACCCACTCCAACCTAAAAAAAAAATACATGAAAACCTTTTGAAATAAAAAAGTGTAGTATAGTATGTATAAATTGCCTTTATGCACCCCCTTTCATAAAGGCAATTTATACACCTAGAGGTGTATAATTTGTCTTTATAAAAAGAGGAGCAAGCCATCCCCCTCCTTTGTCGGAACCAAATAAAAAAATTACAATTTAACTACAATTTAACAATTAATTACAATTTAACTTGGCTTGCAAAACCTATTTGCAAGCCATAAAACTTGTGGCAGCTATTTTGCTGGTTACAAAACTTGCTATACTGTGAGCATTTTTACATTAATTTCATATTCCAATTAAGAAAATTCAAACTTCCCTGATATAACAACATCAACTAGCTGGAGTTTTTAATCTTTTGACAGCTCAATATCAGTTCCATCTTGTTTTCAATAAAAAATAGTGTAAATTCTGCCTTGTTATTTCTTGTTTAGTTTTTTCAACTCTACGATCATAAATGGCAAAATGAAAACTTAAACAGAAAATTAACAATGAAACTATAAAAAAAAAATCTAATTACAAACAACAAACTAACACTTGGAATATTGCTACAAAGTTAAAGTAGTAAACAATAAATTAATAATTATTATTAATTTTTTATTAATTTGAAAATTATAATTCAAAATTATTAATATAAAATAATATTGATAGTATAAAAAATTAAATTGTTATTGAATATTATTACTTAATAAAAATTTTATCTTTTATACTATTCATATTGCTTTAACATTATTAAAACACTTTATAAACATTAACTTATTGATTAAGTTTATGTTTTTAAAGTATTTTAATAAAAAAAGTTAAAACTGCTATTGACTATTGACATTATTGTATACTACTTTATTTTTGTATTTAATAACTCACATGTTTAGATAATGGAATATGTAAATTGTATACTACTTTATCTTTTAATTATTGTTTACAATAGCCTATTAAACAAGTGTAAAAATAAATAAGTGTAACATCACATAAAGTATGTGATCTTTACACTTATTTATGTATGGTGTTTTTATAAAGTTGTCCACTGATACTTTGATCAAAGTATTCTCAATTGTAACTCAATTGAGTTAACAATTAATTCAAAAGCAACAGTTTTACTGAGGTTTTAGTCTTAAACGTTAAGAATTTTTTATATGTAACATTTAAAGAAGATTTTTAAACTTATCAACATAATTTAGTTTTAAAAATAATTATTACTTATACTTTTATTAAAAAAAAATAACTTACTAGTTGTTACAGAGTTCAACAAACTTCATTAGTTTTTTCCATTTTAATTTAATAATAAAAATCCAAAAAATAATAAAAATCCATTTTAAAAATCCATTTAAAAATAAAAATCCGAATAAACATGCTCGCAATAACA